GGAGGAGATGAGAAAAACATTCTAAATTTTATGTTTTTAAAAAATAATTTTTTTTTGGGATAGTAATACTTTAATCATTAGCTTTTAACTAATATTAATAGTTTTTTTTTTTGTCAAAATAGAATATTTTGTCGATGTGGCAAGGTTTTTTGCAAATAAAAAAGAGTGTATTACACACACCAAGGTATGTTTCTCAAAGTAATAAGTGATAATTTAGGTATGAAACTCACACTCCAAATAGTTTAGGTATGAAACTCAAAAAAATTAAAATAGTTTAGGTGTGTTTTGACACTTATCTCTATAATTAATTCTAGTTGGCAATGCTTTGGTGGATGAGTTAGTCCCACGTGGCTTGCCATGTCATTAAAATTTGGGCTGTTAACTCTTGAGGGTATTTGTGGTATCATGGAATAACAAGGGAGACATTTTTATCCCAAAACGTAACGGATGATATAAGTGATTTATTTCGTATAGTTCAGGGATAATTTTGATCATTTATTATTCTTTAGATAAAGAAAATTTTACATAATTAAGAAACTACTAAGGGTTACATTTTTTCAAGGTATTTATTAAGGGTAGATTAGTCAAAACATAATTTGTTTTCTAGGAATGAGTAGTTTCTTAATAGGTTTGTCCAAATTAAAAGCAACACTTATTTAGAAATGGAGAGAGTATTAGTTTACTCTTTAATAAACTTTTTTGCAACTTGTTTACACTTTTAAAAATGAATTAATTGTAAGGGTAAAATGAAAAAAATGTAATTAATTCTCTCGTGGTTTTGAAAATTACTTCCTCTATCCCTAATTACTTGTCCACTTTTGAATTGACACACCTATTAAGAATACAACGATTGACATAGTGAGTTTACCATTTTACCCCTATTAATTATGAAGTGGATGAATTAAAAACGTAAAATTTTAAAAAAGTTCTACCTTTTCAAAGTAATTAATTCAGGGTATAATAGGTAAAAAAATTGTCTGGACAACTAAAAAAGGAAAAGTTGACAAGTAATTAGGGACAGAGGGAGTAACAAATAATTTGATATAACTATTTTTAGTAATGTGGACAACTAATATGAGAAGTCCGTTGTCTCTATTCGATATACAGAAAAGGGCCAAAAATACCCCTGTACTATTTGTAAAGGTTTAAAAATACCCTTCATACCCTTCTATCCACTTTTTTTAAATTATTTTTTAATATTATTAATTACATGGCTCCTCCCTATTGGACAAAATTAAACCCCATCCCATAAGATTAATTGTAGAATATGCCACCACCCTCCATCAACAAGTAATTATCTGATGATCACCAGGAATACATAGTCGTTTTACTGTTGAATTCTCAATTTCGGGAATCTTTTTGTTGATCCAAAAGGTTTTTGGTTCATTTTTATTCGATTTTACTGTTAGATTAGTGATTTGGATTTCTGCCTGCGTAACTCCCAAATAGCCCAACAGTATGCAGATCTTTTTGGAAGGAAGATTTTTGGTGGGTGAGGGTTTTAATTTTGTCCAATAGGGAGGAGCCAGGTAATAAATAATAATAATAAAAAGTGGCTGTTAGTTTTAAGGGTAGAAGTGAATATGGCTAGAAGGGTATTTTTAGCCAAATGGATGAATAAGGGGTATTTTTAAACCTTTTCAAATAGTACGGGGTATAATGTTTTCCATCCTTAACAAACACAACCTTGAGTTTAATGTCCGCTCAGAAACAAAAAAAATGCATGGTTCTTATTGTTGGAATCAATGATCAATATCATGACTCATGAGATTGTAAGAATTTATATACCAAAACATATGCATATAAATAACTATACATATATTATATCTAGTGAAATTTAGACCTTACATTTAATAGACCTTTTATCTTTTGCATCAAAAGACAAGTCTTTTTAAGAGTTCAACCTCAATTACAACAATTCCAAATATTATCACCAAATAATATATTCCTAAATAATTATAAGCTTCCATCAATGACATTATGATATTATACTTTTAAGTCATTTTTAGTTTTTAAGACGGTTTGACAAATTTAAAAATAACTTAAAATAAGTTTAAAATGACTTTAAAATAAGTTAAAAAGTCAAAAAGTAGGACTCTCTCTATTTTTTATCTTTTGACTTAAGAGTCATTTAAGTTTGACTTGAAAAAGTTAATTTTTCAAAATTTATTGTAGACACAAATTTTATTGGATTAAATTCATACGAAATTTGAATTAAATCCATGTTCATTGGGTTGAATGATTAATTTGGGCTTTACAAATAAATAAGTCCATTTTATTATATTCAAATATAAGGTCAATTTCACCTTGAAGCCCAAACTCATGCCATGTGTCACAGTGACTAGGCATTCAAGACCAATAAATCGGCGCCACATGTCAAAATGAGATGGTACTCCCAATCAACTGCAAGAACCAATCACAATCCGCCAAGTGTCAAAATGACATCCTTTGGCCAATCATATGCAACCTTGTCCACCCCTTACTTCTATAAATAGGGGATGTACATGACATTCTTAGGCATTAAGAAAACTCTTCAATAAGCATTATGTAAGGATTGGAGAACGCTACAACACCAGCTACATAGTTCTTCAAAGGAGTGGTCAATAGAGTTCTTCTCGGAGATCGACTTGAAACCACGAAGTACTTCTCGACGTTTTCGGAGATCAAATACATCTCAAGGAGGTATATATCTTTCTACATTCGAGAAATACGCTACTAAAGGCCCTCGAATCACAGAGAAGTTTAGGAGTGAAGAATCAAGAGAACACCAGAATTGTACTCACAAGATTCATTAATAAAAATCACATTTTTCTTTTATTTATTTTGCTTGCAGTTAATTTTCAGCGCTTACGGAAATTTGTTGCGAACAAATTTGGCATGCCAAGTGGGATCGATTGTGCTCTTCATCTCTTTCTCTTGTAAACCAGAAACTACAAAGTCAACTACTGCAATGGCCTTCAGAAAGAGTAGTGATTTTTCATACAAAGACTCCAGTGGTGTCGTATCTGCTGATTTCAATCACGTTGGCCCGATTACTCGGCGGAAGTTCAAGAATAGTGGGTTAGATGGATCGTATACTTCACTTCTTTGGAGACGATAAAAAACAACAACTCTCATACGATTATCATAACTGCAACACCTAGGGGCAATCTTGCATCCGTGTTCTTTGGAGAATTTTCTCAAATTGGCTCCAACTTTGGTGAATCCGAAGATTCAATGGATTCTCCAACTTCAATGAATGTCAATGCATTGATGTCTGACTCAATCGACATGGACGAGAAGTTTGCAATGATGGATCAACCCATTGAAGCCTCGAAAAACTCCATTGATGACAAAAATCTTCATATTGCTCAACTTATGAACAAGTTGGAGACATTCACACTCAGAGAGTCAAGTCATGTCCCTACTTGTCCACCTGGTTTTGATGCACGAAACAAGGACGTTGAGCAATCTCTAGCAAAGTCAAAATTTCAAAAGGAGAAACAATCTGCTTCAGCTGCAGCATTATCTGTCCAACAGTTGCAAGACATGATAGCAAACACTATCAGGGCTCAATATGGCGGAACACCACAAAGTTCCTTGTATTACTCCAAGCCATATACCAGATGAATTGATTCTTTATCAATGCCAACAAACTATCAACCACCAAAGCTACAACAATTTGATGGCAAGGGGAACCCAAGGCAGCATATCGCCCACTTTGTTGAAACCTGTAGCAATGCTGAAACACATGGTGACCTTTTGGTAAAACAATTTGTTCGTTCGCTTAAAGGGAATGCATTTGACTGGTATATCGACTTGGAACACGAGTCCATTGATAGTTAGGAGCAACTCAAGAAGGAATTCCTCAATCATTTTTACAGTACTCGTCGAATCGGAAGCATGATAAAGTTGACCGACACTAAGCAAAGAAAGGACGAGCATGTGGTGGATTACATCAATCGTTGTAGATCATTGAGTTTGGACTACAAAGATCTTCTTTCTAAA